ATAATAAGGTTTTAAAAATATATAATTAATTTTAAAAAATTATAATAATTAAATATGTAAATCAGGAGATAAATTATTAAAATGTAATATATTTAAAAAAAATTAAAAAGAAATGCTTATTTTATAAGAAAAGAAGATAGCATAACATTTATATCTATGAAGGGACACTTGTGTAAAAACTGTTTTGATAATATTTTTTTTTTAACAAACGTCAACAAAATTTTAAAAATAAATAAATTATATATTAAAATTTGTTATGAAAAAGGGCTATACTTTTTAATATAATAAGGAAGACAATATAACATTGGTATCTCTTAGGAAAGAAAAATATAATTTACATATATATAATTCATTATTCTTATACTATTGATTACAACATTATATCGTAAAATATAATCAATTATATTTTTAATTTATAAAAAAAATATGTTCATTTTCTTTTAAACTAAACGCAGATGTTTTTGTTCTATAATTCTTCTTCTTCTTCTGTTATCTACCTACTTCCATTTCTTTTATTTCCTTCCTTTCACCTCACTAAACACAACTTTAACGAAGATAAAATTAGTGGGAACTTTATGAGCACTAAATTTTGGTTTCTTCATTTCCATTTTGTGATGTTAATCGTTCAAAATTCAAATGATGATAAAGATTTATGTCAAATCTGTGCTTACTTTCTCGGTTAAAATTTCATGGGGACACGATACATATTAACTTTTATATCCATTGACCGTTCACATCAGACTCAATTAAGAAAATTAAGATTAGTTTGGCTTTTAACTTTAAAGTTATCCAATTCAAATATAAACACTAAGTACGGTATAGTTTGATTAAATTTAAAAATATTATAAACTTTGAACTAATTTATAATAATCTTTTATGATTTAATTTTATCAATAGCGGTGTTAAAAAGTTTCATTAAAAATTAACTAATATTATGTTATTTATTTAAAATTTATCGTTAAAAATATATAAATATTAAAAATATTTGATTATTCAATATATTTAACATCAATTTAATGTTATTATTTTAGTAAAAATATTTTAATATAATTTTAGTTGTCGTATTAAATATTTATATATATATATATATATAGTTTGTCACATCAAATAAGATTATTTTTTAATATTATAAATAATTCAGAATTTTCAGTTTAATAATTTACAATTTTATAAAATATCTTTTATATTAAATTATTATAACATACTTTTGAAGAAGAAGAAGAAAAATCCTTTAATAGCTTATACTTTTATAAATCATACTTTATATTATATTAATGACATATACTTACATTATACATTTGAGAAGAAATACAAATAAATGCGATTGGATTTGGTTTCTTCAACATTTTAAATGACAAATTAAATCGAGTCACACGGCTTAGCAAAATAAAAAATCAACAAAATCACTAATTTGAAATTTTCAATCGATTTATTTTATTTTTAATTGTGGGTCAATTTTCAAAATTTCATTTAGATTTATTCGATTTTGAACATGCATAATCATTGTTGGTTACTAATAGGAAATGTATTAGACAAATATTATATATTTATAATTAAAAAAAAAAGTAAAATTGTCACACACACATACACACACATATATATATATATATATATAATATTTAATACATATTAAATATTCAACAATAATAAAAAAATTATCATAATCCGACTCTTTATATCTTAACTTAATCATCAAATGAGTACAAAAGCTGAATTTTAGAAGAAAAAATATACAATGAAGCTGATTTAAACTATTAATAATCCAAGATAAATGATAAATTAGGATAAGTGAATATGTGCATGTGGATGTTAGTTTTATGCTATATTATATATATATATAATAGTAATTTAGAATGAGTGTAAGGTAATTTCAGACATATTTTGATTCATACTCTTTCACAAATGATCGGTGTAAGTTGTATTGTATCGGATAGAGATGGCAATGCTTAGCTTGCAAAATGCTTTTGTATATATGCGAATGAATGTGACTTTAATTAATTTGTTCCTTTACACCCTTCCATCATATCACACAATTATCGATATAAGTAAAAAAAATTATATTCTTATGCCACGTATAGAATATACTATGTTAAGAAAGAAATGTTTATTAATAAAATTTAGTTATTATTTTTTATGATAAATAATTTATAATAGTTAAAAAAAATATCATACACTTAGCAGAAAAGTAATGCTACCTGACAAACAAAAACATGAATATATATATATATATATATATATATATATATATATATATATTATAAATAATTCAGAATTTTCAGTTTAATAATTTACAATTTTATAAAATATCTTTTATATTAAATTATTATAACATACTTTTGAAGAAGAAGAAGAAAAATCCTTTAATAGCTTATACTTTTATAAATCATACTTTATATTATATTAATGACATATACTTACATTATACATTTGAGAAGAAATACAAATAAATGCGATTGGATTTGGTTTCTTCAACATTTTAAATGACAAATTAAATCGAGTCACACGGCTTAGCAAAATAAAAAA